GAATCCTCCCGATTTCCTCTCCTGATTCCCACATTCTGAGTGTCCACCAAGATCATCAAAAGATAAGTGCAGATCACCAGCAAAGGATATATCTGGAAAACATTAATAATTAACTTTTAAAAATGGTTTCAATTATTATAAACATAATGTTCAGTTGACTAATAAAGAATGCCTTTAAGCATCACTATTAGTTAAGAAGAGCCAATCTGGTTCTCCTGGTTTTTTGATGACATGTAAGTACTGTATTTCCCCATGTATAAGACACACCCTTTCTCGAAAAATTTGGGGTCTAAAAACTGGGTGCGTCTTATACAATGGTTTAGGGTTTTTTACTTGCATTTCCCGCTTTTTTCGTGCTTGTTTTTTTTTTGGGGGGGGGGTGCTGATACAACCACTGTATAAGACGCACCCAGTTTTTAGACCCCAAATTTTTTGAAATAGGATGTGTCTTATACATGGGGAAATACGCATCACATGTTCCATATATTCATTATCCAGCTGGGAACCAATTTTTTCTTGGGTCTCTTAATAGTCTCTGTACTGAACAGTTTAAGCTGCATGCAGGTTACTTCATATAAGATCACAAGATTTTTTTCTTTTTCATTAAATAAGCAAGAGTCTGTGTCAAGAAAAACCAGGAGAACCAAAAAGGAGGTTTAACTCATGCAATTTCTCGTGTCTTACTTGAATACTTATTTTTTTATTATAATACTGAATTTCAGGGTGAAATCCATGAATTCTAGTTTTTAACTAACGGCTCTTCTCATTGGATGAAATTCAAAACAAAATCATAATATTCTCAGAGCTTAAATACATCACAAAAAAGAAATTTTTACCTGAACATGAAGTATCATGTGAAACATTCAAAGATACTTCACACGAAGAGTTAACTGGATTATCATAAGACTTTTCAATCATTTGGGAAGCTAAAAGTAATCAAAACATTTCATTAGATACAATTTTAACATTTTTTTAGATGAAGCCAACAGATAGCCCATTATTTCTATTCTTATATATCACACACACATAGACTTATGCCTTGTACTTCATAGTCCAGACTTACTACAAAACAATAAGCACAAAAACTCTTACTCAAATCTATTCCAGATGATGAGATTAGAAAGGAGGATTAAATCATGAGATACAGGTTAGAAGGGGTTATGAAGAGTCAGCCTGGACCTAAGCAGAAGCTCAACAAAGGGAAAAATTCTGTCGGTCAGCCTTGTTTGAAAACCAAGGTTTTTTCTTCAGAGGTGCTGCTAACGGTTACCTCTATAACTAGAGCGGCGGTTCTCTACCAGGCACAATCAGGCCCCTGGCAGACCCCAGGTAATGCCTGCAGACACTGCCCAGTGTCACATTCCAGAAACTGGGGTGGGGTGGGAGCTACGGTGCTGGCAGCTAGTGGGTAGGGACCAGAGAGGCTGCAAAACAGTCTGCCATTCACGTGCTAGCTCCTCAGCAAAGACTGATCCAGCTCACAAGGTCGACAGTGCCAAGCTGGGAAACCCTGGAGGTTTCACAGAAAACACCCAGGTTATCAACACTCGACAAGCGAGGTCCGAAGCGCTATCTTCAAAGGCCAGAACCAAGAGACGCTTTGGCCTCAGGTCCAAAGATGGTTTTTGAAAGAGAATCAAAAGGATGTTTTTCTGAGAAAACTTAAGCAAAGAATTTAAAAATGAGGATAAAGCAAGATAAGGAAGGTAAGAAATCAAGTTTTCAGTTACTGAATTTTAAACTGTGGCGATGCAGCAGTTCCAGTGGCAGACTTCACACTACTAAGTAATCAAGTGTAAGGCAAATACAGGAATATACATAACTATACCTTGAAGCAATTAACACAACAGTCATCTGGACACTGCTAGTGGCAGCGCTCCACACCCATTCTCACCATCCTCTTAACACAGAGGCCCCGTTAGTGCAACAACAAGGCTAAAATGCTGTCAACATTTTGAAAGGCAATGTGACAGTATCTACCAAAAATTTTACATTCTGCCTTTATAAGTTAGTATTACTGAAAAATACATGAAATACACAGGAACAAAAGATTTATATGGAAGGATGCCCACTAGTATATGTGGATAACAGTCAAAAGTGGAGGGAAAGCCTTATGTCCAGATACTAAATGGTTAAATAAAAAACAAGAACAACCATACCATGTCGTCTTAAAAGAATAAGAACTGCAGCATTATGTCTAATAAAGAGAAAATTTTAAAATATCCCTCAACAGATGGATTCAATATCAAAACTCTAGTCTACTTTGCAGCATCTTAAATAAAAAAAAAAGAAAGAAAAGAAAAAGATCCACACCTACTGACCTGAAAAAACAGCCAAGATACTTTTAAGAAAAATATTTGAAAATAATCAGTTTGCCATGATCCAATTTAAAGAAAAGTTACACCTACACACAGAAAACTGCAGGTGCCTGCCCGTGTCTTTCTCACGTGTGCACAGGTGTTTCATACACTGGAAAGCATCTGGGAAAACCCAGCAACTTACAATGCAGGTCACCCACGGGCAGAGGGGAGTCCGGTGGGAATCAAGACGGACCACTAGGAACCTCACACGGGATAAATGTCTCATGAAAATGTATTTACATAAGTTAATTAAAAAATTTCAAAATAAAATGAAGGAAAACACAGGCTGATGCATTAAATACTTAATCTAAAGCAAATTCCTTCAAAAGAGAACCTTAATATGAAAATCACAAAGGAATAAAAATTAGAAAGGAACTACAACAAACAGAATTTCCAACCTGCAGAACACTATATATCCAATATACACTTAAAAATCTTAATAAAAATAAGATATTCTGGAAGAAAATATTGACAAAGTCTGCTGTGAAATAGGTTAAAATCTGTGAGAATCAGGAAACACTAACTAAAATATCTAGGTAAAGAAGAAAAACCACCGTTCCACCACAACTTTTTCACCTCTTTGCAGAATCTTCACTTTATAAAATGTAAGCACTTACAGGTAGGGGAGAGGTTTTCCCTCCTCTCCTTCATCTTCTGTAATCTCTTCTCCATTGCACTGTGATGACCACAGTACATTTTAATGGTGGGACTG